TTTCTTTTTCTGGCCATGCTAGGAATGGAATCCAGGGCGTGGCACATGCTAGGCAAGTAGGCAAGGCCCCACTACTGAGCTAATCCTCAACCCATGTTAGTTTTTTGTTGTTGTTGTTTTCTTTTGTACTAGAGATTGAACCAGGGGTGTTTGTACAAAAAGGGCTACTTTCTCTACGTTTTTGATTCTCATTTTGAGACACTGTCTCACTAAGTTGCTTAGGGCATCACTAGGTTGCTAAGGCTGGCCTCAAACTTGAGATCCTCCTGCCTCAGCCTCCAGAGTCTCCTGCTGTGCACTTTTTTTTTTTAACACTGCGTCTCTGCTGTCCAGCACAGTACTGCGTCCATAAAGGGCACCACAAAAGAATAACTACAGGGCTGCTGGACTGAAGATGGGCAGGGCTGAGTCGGGGAGCCACAAGAAACTGAGCTGGACCTTGGAGGAAGGCATTCTCCAAATCCTTCTTTCCTCACGTCTTCTCCCGCGATTCCCAGAGTGCGCCTTCTGTGACCTGCGCATGGATGCTCAGAGGTGCGGCAAGAGGTATTTTAAGTGACTGGCCTCTATTGTGTGCCATGTGCTCTTTCCTTTTTCTCTTTTGGTGCTCACTTCGTCTCACAAAGTTACGAGTTCATGGAAACAGGAAGATGGTCCTTAGAAAAGTCAACAGGGCTGAGGATGGGCTCAGCATGTGCAAGGCTGCGGGTTGCATCCTCAGCCCTGCAAAAAAAAAAAAAAAAAAAAAACCATACAGAGCCAAGTCTGTACCCAAAGAAGTGCAAGCAGGGGCTCAGAGAGATCTGAGACTTAAACAGCCAAAGACACGGAGACCACTGGGTGTCCACCCAGATAAACGTACCATCCCTGCTCCGACGCGGCTGGCCCTTGAGGCCACCATGCTACTAAGCCAGACACCAAAGGACACGTGCTGCGGGACCCACTCACAAGTGTCCCGAGAGTCCTCGGCTCCAGAGACAGGACGCATTCGGTGGTGCCAGAGGACGGGAGGGGAGGGGAGTCTGACCAGACGAGAAAGCTCTGGCGGCAGATGGAGCCTGAACTGCGAGAACCTCCACGTCGCACGTGTTCTGCGACGTAAGTGTCTCGACGTGCGCACGGTCATTCCCCACGATATTCTAAAGTCACCTTCGTCTCGTGAAAGAATGTCGTGGTGTGTGTACACACTTGGTGGCGAAAGCCCACCGAAGCTGGACGGGTCGCCCACTAGCCTCAGGACGGCTGTCTCCCTCGGCCCCAGACGCGGACGTCCCCCAGCTGCCGGCGCTCAACACCCGGCGCCGCGTCCCTTCCGCCCCACGCCCCAGGAGCACGCGCGCCAGCGCCGTGGGAGTGCGCACGCTCCGGAAAACCGCCTCGCGTCGGTCCCCGCCCCTTTGCCCTGCGAGGCGGGCTCGGGCTGCTGCGCACGCGCCGCGG